TGTGCAGCAAACATCAATCTGCGAGAGTTGGACTCCTGGTACTGTCCTTGGCTCATTTTCTGCCGTTTCCAATCGACTGTCAAGCGTTCTATCATTAGACTGGATAAGGTTGTTGGCTGAGATTTTTATTGGGGTTTACATTTTGATTGCTCATTATTCAATTCATGGGTATACAGACTAGGCTGTATTTAGTTTTACGGTTGCCGAAAAGTACCCAAACAACAGAAAAAGAAGTTAATTTGAAACGGAGTTGGTTATCGTTTTTCACCGACGTCGAAGTTGTTGTTGTTGTTGATGATGATGAGAAGCAGGGGATCAATTTTGTATGGATGAACTGAAACAAATAATTCCCGGTTCACGACAAAACGGAGAGATTTTATGCATATTCGTGCTATTTACAGTAAAAAAATAATGATCTATCCCGCAAAAGTACGGCATTCTGATTAGTGATTAGACTCGGGTTCATAATACAGTATGAACTAATCGCATACAACTTTTGAAATTATTGTGCCGTTGTTGTATTATTGTTTAAGATCACGCAGAATTCATTCAGCACAAACACTAGTGAATAGCATTTCACCTCGATTCACAATACCGTTGCCCAATACGTTTACTGACCTTTGAATAACCTCACTCTAAGTATCAGTATTCGACTTACTAATGTACACTAGTGACAGATGAACCAATAACCCTCAACACCACTTAGGAATCAGTAGAAATAGTTACAAAAGGTATCAGTATATCAATTCTCTCGAAAGATATTTCACCAAGAGATCACCGATGAAAGCGGAAGTTCAGTAGAATAAAAATAACTTTCTGAAAAGCCATAAAATCAACTTTGTATCAGAAAAATACTGAACATACGCAGTTAGAATAGGATATCTATTGCGGAGAAATCAGGAGAAGGGACGAGTGACATTTTTTTGTATTTGTTCGAGCACCTGAATTCGGGTCGCTACTCGGTGGATTCAATCCCAATGGAGTGGAAAAAGCACGAGTCCAATAAGAATCGTAGATGTTATACAGCCATTGTTATCATGCGATCAAATAAAAAAATAGCATAGTTTGTCTCCAGCTTATCCACTAGCTCCATGATACCCGGTTCATCCAGTTATTCATCGACAAACGCTGCACCAGTATACGTCACTCATTTCAACCAAGGATGTACCTCAGACTCTTCCACTGCCTATTCATTTCTCTCACCTGTCGTGAACTAGATTCTAATTATCAGAACGACGTAATCATCCCCGGGTAACGAAATTTTATACTTCTATCGTTTTATGGGTCCAAGAATGACATTTTAGAATGTCCTCCCATGTTCACCTGCCTCCAAATTACGAAATCTTTGATTTTAAATGCTAAATCAGCACAGTGGTTCTAGGCTGAATGTTATTTTCAAAATCCCATGTACAACATACCCGTAGATTGTTAACCTTGCGCACGTTATACACAATAGAGAAAATGGGAAATATGCCAATAGGAAGCTGTGTAAAAAGATGAAAAACAAATCATAAATTATTCGTAAAGTTCCACATAACTTTACACTCTTTTACCAAAAACCTGAGTATTACGAGATAACAGTATGGCTCTGTATACGAAATGTGATTAGTGGGTATGCGGAACGAGAGGAGTCATGAGATTTTTACAAGTAAACGTTTCTAGTTGTAACGAGTGGATGCTGTCAGATACAACTGTCGCTTGTCAAGTAGGAGACGAAGGGGCACGATGAGTCCAAAAACTGATACGTAGTCAAGAAATGCATAGTACACCGAGTTTTGTTTGTTATTCTGAGATTGGCGAGCAAAGTGAATTAATGAAGAGACAACATCTGGCATGAAAACCGATAAATGTCATTGGTAGTCGTGAGCAATACCTGAAGGCGTTGTGTCGCCGATTATTTCTTCAATTTTAACTCGATAGATATGAGAACAGTTGGCCTAAAAGATTTGCAAATTGTTACATGTGTTATCTGTGAGGTCGCGTATGACCGTTATTGGTTACCAGCACTCCAGAATTGCTTTTAGTTGCATTGAAAAGATAGATATGTTTAACAACGTAAGGGACAATCGTTTTGTACAAAGTTTCACAAATGTGAGACTAATTTTGTTCAGACTATTTACAGACGGTGCATTCGGAGAAGGCAAATGTTTAGAATTTGCCTCAACGAATCGGTTCGAAATATGTACACACGAGGGGTCAATTCGGAATGGTTCATCAAAATCCCATTGAAATGCAAGTAATAAAAGCACAGCGATTAAGACAAAACCTCTGCAGTTGAGTAAAACGTTGTAAGCTCCAAGATATATTGTTTATTTCTCACATCAATGACCGCCACGTGCATATAAATCGATTTAACTAACACCAAATAAATCAAGTAATTAGCATTTTCCCCCAAATTTCCCAACTCCGACTAATGTATGGCTATCATTTTGCATATATCTATTTAGTATGCATGGCAGAAACAGTCTTATCTGTGTCATGGTTAAGCCATTGGTTCATCGCAATCAAGAGAATTTACAGTGGGAGTGTTGCCATAATACCGGGGTTGTATCGGCAGTCTAATAATAAAACAATGGCTAATACTACTATTATTACTACTACTACTACTAATCTGTGAATCGTTTACCGATGAGGCCCACCGATCAAATTTCTTCGTTTTTATAACTTTTTCGATGAGATTGAAATAAGATCCGAGAAACCAGATGTTTTAAAAGGGCCAATAGATAGCGCACGAATGAGTTCTATCTCAGCAGTGTGCTAGGTAGAGGAGGATACACGTGGAAATAGTAGATAGGCTCGCAGAATAGCTCGGTCATTTTTATTCTAAAACTTAACCTCGATAAATGATATTTTTAAACCATTTTGTGGTATTTTTCTAGTCCATACAAGGTTGAACGGGAAAACTATGAAAGAAGCAAATAACTTTTACTCTTTGGACAGCTACGTTTATTGGAAAAATCCCACATAAATATTTCCGGTAAGGGTCCATAAAAATTCAATTGTCAATGGCCCAGCTACATATAAGCTACCTATCACTGTCGTGATCAAAATTTAGAACATAACGAAAAAATTCAGTCAGACTGCTGGTAAATGATCGGCCATGTTTCACGCAAGAGTGATCGATATCATCCAAGAGGTTTCAATCACATTGATAGCGGGAACACAAAAGCGGGGTGCACAAATGACAAGTTACCACAAGGACTGTAACAACCAGCTTTCTGAAAACATCTCGGATGGAGAAAACAAAACGACACAACTGCTCAGCAGTGCATACAACTTTTCTGACCATATAAGGACTAGAAACGCGATCAGACGGATCGACAAATCAAACGGTAAAACGTGAGCTACACGAACGTAGGTTATCACGTTGTGCGAACGGTAAATTTATATTAGGACTATCTAGCCTGAATTAGTTCATAGTATTTTTCAGAGGAACAGCGAAAAACGGACACCACACGCTGTGAAAAACAACCATTGAGAGATCGTTAACTCCGGAAGAATGCCAGGACAGTGAGTGCATCAAAGTTCCCCAAGGAGTTGAAAGCACACAAAGTAAAGAAAAGGTGCCTGGTGCATGTGAACAATCGAATGGGCTAATCCAAGCTTCAGACTATCAAAATATTGAGCCATTGGCCCAAGGTGATAATTGTGATCCGTGTAAATCACGACTGAATTATTAAAGTCGCGACCCGACGGATCGCTGTTCGAGTGGTGACGTGGACAGAAAAGAAACGGAAGCACTGCTGACGAGTCGGTAACAGGACGAAACAGCTCTCCAGTGCTCTTTCTTCTTTGGTTATCACAAACATTTCGATCACATTGAAATGCATAGAAAAAGTGGTCAATTGACGATCTCGCAAGTAGTATGTGACACCTAAAACCGAGAAACATGAAGATTGCCTGGTGCCTGTGTACAATCGAATGGTCTAATCCAAGATTCAGATTGTGAATTGGTTGAGCCATTGGCACAAGGTGATAACCGTGGTCCGTGTAGCTCACACGTGAATGTTTCAAGTCGCGACCCGACTGATCTCGGTTCAAGTGGTGACGTGGACAGAAAAGAAACGGAATCATTGCGGACGAGTCGGAAACAGGACGAGATAGCTGCCCAGTGCTCTTTGTTCGTTAGTTATCACAAATATTTCGAACGCATTGGCCTGCACAGAAACAGTGTTGAATTGACGATCTCGCAATCAGTGAGTGAAACCCACACCGAGTATCATGAAGAGCGACCGGTGCCTGTGAAAAATCGAATGGGCTAATCCAAGCTTCAGGCTGTGAGTTCATTGATCCACTGGCACAAGGTGATAACCGTGGTCCGTGTAGCTCACGTGTAATCGTTTCAAGTCGCGCCCAGACTCATCGCGGTTCGAGTGTTAACGTGGACAGAAAAGAAACGGAAGCACTGCTGAAGAGTCGGACACAGGACGAAACAGCTGTCCAGTGCTGTTTGATCGTTGGTTATCACAAACATTTCGATCGCATTGGCTTGCGTAAAAACAAGGGTGAATTGACGATCTCGCAAGCATTGAGTGAAACCCACACCGAGTATCCTGAAAAGCGCCCGGTGCCTTTGAAAAATGGAATGGTCTAATCCAAGCTTCAGGCTCTGAGATCATTGATCCACTGGCACAAGCTGATAACCTTGGTTCGTGTAGCTCAAAGGTGAATGTTTCAAGTCGCGACCCGACTGATGGCGGTTCGATTGATGACGTGGACAGAAAAGAAACGGAAGCACTGCTGACGAGTCGGACACAGGACGAAACAGCTGTCCAGTGCTGTTTGTTCTTTGGTTATCACAAACATTTCGATCGGATTGAGATGCATAGAAACAGTGGTGAATTGACGATCTGGCAAGCAGTATGTGAGACCCACACAGAGAACCACGAAGAGTGCCTGGTGCCTGTGAAAAATGGAATGGGCTAATCCAAGCTTCAGGCTATGAGTTCATTGATCCACCGGCACAAGGTGATACCCGTGGTCCGTGTAGCTCACGCGCAATGGTTTCAAGTCGCGACCCGACTGATGGCGGTTCGACTGGTGACGTGGACTGTAAAGAAACGGAAGCACTGCTGACGAGTCGGAAACAGGACGAAACAGCTGTCCAGTGCTGTCTTTTCGTTTGTTATCACAAACATTTCGATCGCATTGAAATGCATAGAAACAGTGGTGAATTGACGATCTCGGAAGCCGTCATTGAAACGCACACAGAGCAGTCTGACGAGTGCCTGATACCTGCTATCAATCGAATGGGCTTATTCAAGCTTCACATTGTGAAATCATTCAGCCATTGGCTCAAGGTGATAACCGTGGTCCGTGTTGCTCACGGGTAATTGTCTGAAGTCCTGACCCGACTGATCGCGGTTCGATTGGTGACGTGGACAGAAAAGAAACGGAAGCACTGCTGACGAGTCGGAAACTGGACGAATCAGGTGTCCAGTGCTCTGTGTTCTTTGGTTATCACACACATTTCCATCGCATTGGCCTGCATAGAAACAGTGGTGAATTGACGATCTCGCAAGCATTGAGTGAAACCCACCGCAAGATTCATGACGATTGCCTGGTGCCTGTGAACAATCCAGTGGTCTAATCCAAGTTTCAGACTGTGAAATGATTGAGCCATTGGCACAAGGTGGTAACCGTGGTCCGTGTAGCTCACGGGTAATGGTTTCAAGTCGCGACCCGACTGATCGCATTTCGAGTGGTGACGTGGACAAATAAAAAACGGAAGCTCTGCTGACGAGCCGGAGACAAGAGGAAAGAGCTGTCCAGTGCTGTTAGTTCGTTGGTTATCACAATCATTTCGATCCATTGAAATGCATAGAAACAGTGGTCAATTGACGATCTCGCAAGCATTGAGTGAAACCCACAGCGAGAACCATGGCGAGTGTTTGGTGGCTGTGAAGAATAGAATGGGCTAATCCAAGCTTCAGACTGTGAATTGATTGAGCCATTGG